GGGATGGACACTGGGAGGAGGTAACTATGGGGAGGAAGTGGGAGGGGAGCTGTTGCATTGTAAATTTTGGTCAATGACATGAGACAAAATATATGTGAACTGCTGTATGAAAAGTGAATTTACTCTGTAAATCTTCACCCAAATCCTAAAAAAAAAAAAAAAAGTACAAATGTAAAAGGGGTGCTCGGGAACCAATCTAAAAAAAAAAAAAGAAAATACCATGGCTGGTGTCCTCAAGGAGACCTCTTGTTCTTCAGCACTTAAAAGAGGTCATTTGCAGCCAATTTGCCCAATGCTATACATCTGATGTCCTGACTGCTGCTTCTATTGTCATCGATTGTTGTTGTTGTTGGTATGTGTCGTTGAGTCTGCCCGACTCACAGCGACCCCTCCTAGGGTTTGAGGCGGTATCATTACGGAAGTAGATTGCCCAACCTTCCTTCTGAGGAAAATTGGCTTGAACCGCCAGCCTTCTGGTTAGCAGTCAACTGCTTTAGGCACTATGCTACCAGGCAAAGTGAATCCTTTGACAACTTCAATTTCTCCATTTCTCATTGTTCTGGTTACCTAGTACCTATCTGACAAAAAATATACCACAGATGAGATGGCTTTAACAAACAGGAGTTTATTCTCTCATAATTTGGAGGCTTTCAGGCCAAGTTCAAAGTGCCACGCTCTAGAGGCTGTATGAAAACCCCTCGACCTTGGGCTTCAGCTCTGCCTCTTGTTCCTGGCCCACTGAAGCTACAGGCATCTCTTCAATCAGGCAGCTACTGGCTGCTGAGGCCAACAAGCCCAAGGTCGACAAATAAAATGGCACAGTCCCGATGTTAGCAAACCACATGGCAGGCCATTAATTTAAGTCCATTGTAAGTCCCAAGGTTGGCAGAGTACGGCAGGCTGCTGAACAACAACGTGGCTACATGTAGGGTCCAAGTGTGCCATAAGCTAGAGATCATTCCCAAAGGCTTCTCCTTATATACAGGAAGCAGACCATGTCCCTAAGGCAGCTAGCTACTCAGCTGCTCACAGTAGATTCCAACATGGAATCGATAGCCAGTCTCATCATGGGGAATAACTACCACCAGCTGCCAGCCACTCAACCAGGCCCAGCCAAGTTGACACACAAACATAACTACCACAATCACGATGCTGTTATAGGTCCAGTTGTGAGGATTTCTGTTTTCTCTATATTGAGATGTAATCCATACCACACACTATATTATTGAATCTTCATCAGTAAGTACCTCACGTCATCTTCACTTTCAGCAAGCAAAGTTATGTCGTTAGTGTATCGTAGGTTGTTAATGATTCTTTCTCCAATCCTGACACCATGTTCTTCTTCATATAGTCAAGCTTCTCAGATTATTTGTTCAGCATACAGACTGAATAAGTGTGGTGAAAGGATATAACCCTGATACACTCCCTTCCTGATTTTAAACCATGCAGTGTCCCCTTGTTCTGTTCAAATGACAGTCTCCTGGTCTATGCACAGGTTCCTCATGAGTACAATTAAGTGTTCTGGAATTTCCATTCTTCTCAATGTTATCCACAATTTGTTAAGATCCACACAATCAAATGCTTTTGTATAGTCAATAAAACTCAAGTAAACATCATTCTGGTATTCTTTGCTTTGAGCCAAGATCCATCTGACATCAGCAATGATATTCCTCAGTCCATGTCTCTTATGAGTCCAGCTTGCATTTCTGGAAGTTCTGTGTCAATATACTGCTGCAACTAGTTTTGAATTATCTTCAGTAAGATTTTACTTGTGTGTGATATTAATGATATTGTTCGATAATTTCCACATTCTCTGGGACAACAGGGAGCAGGAATACTGGCTTCCAGGGTGCATGATAAGCTCCGATCAGCAAATGGATTCACAAAGAACTTCATTAATGTAATTATAAACTTAAAAGTGTATATAGTTTAGTGGTGTTGGCTTGAATACCCCCTGCCGGCCCCCCATGTTTAAGTAGATTCATGGCAACTAAAAGGCCCTTGGGGGCCAAGAATACGAATCCCTGGTTGGAGCTCAATTTAGCTGAGGAACCAGTGTGTGCTCTTCTCTTTCCTCCTCAACTTCCTCCTCCTTTTTCCTCTCTAGAGAGAGGGCCTTAGATCTCATAAAATAATTGAAAACCAAGCTTATTAGCCTCAGGTTCTCAGCAGAACAGATGGATTTAATAAGAATTTGCTGCTTTTATACTGCACACATGCAATTTTAATTCTTTCCCTTTGCTGTTTATGAAAAGTACCAAACAACAACAACAAAAAAAACATGTGCTATAGGAATATGCCCCATAATAGTAATTTTATACTGCTACCATTTATTGGGCACCTACTAAGTGCCAGTCATTTTCCTATGTAACTTCATGGAATCTTCCCAGCACTTCTGTGTAAACCAAAAAACCCCAAACTCACTGCTATCGAGTTGATTCCAACTCATAGTGATCCCCACTGGGTTTCCAAGGCTGTAAATCTTTATGGAAGGAGACTGCCTCATCTCTCTTCCACAGAGTGCCTGGTGGGTTTAAACCACTGACCTTTTGGTTAGCAGCCGAATATCTTTACCATTACACCACCAGAGGACACTGAAATTCAGAGAAGTTGTCTTCCCAAAGTCGTACAACAGATCAATGGCAAAACAAAACAAAGTAACAAACCCACTGCTGTTGCGTCAATTCTGACTGATGGCGAACCCATATATTACAGAGTACAATGCCCTATAGGGTTTTCTAGGCTGTAATCTTTGTGGAAACAGATGACCAGGCCTTTCTTCCAAGGCTCAGCTGGGTGGGTTTGAACCGCCAGCCTTTAGGTCAGCAGTCAAGCACAAACCGCTTGTGCCTCCCAGGGACCGTGAGCAAGTGGCTGAACTATGATTTTTACCCAGGATTGCCTGACACTAAACTTTTTGTCCTTTCTTTTCCTTTTCTTTCTTGTTAGTTCAGGGCATATTTTGCTTATAAGTTAGTTTGTGCCACACACAAAGCCTTTGGTTTCCAGAGCTTCTTGGATGTGGGTACTGCAGACATAGTTCTGCACAGCTGACTGGAGTTGCTTGTTTTCCTCTTTCTTGCTGGGTGCTGGGTTTCCTGGATCTTGTTATCCGTCATGGCCCCAGCCTGGCACTCACAAAAAGTCTGCTGAGTGAACATCCAAAGTAATTGATGATAACAATAATAGTAATAGCGTCTGCCATTCATCAAGCAGCAATAGATGATAACAATAGTAACAGCATCTGCCATTCATGAAGCACGTACCAGGTGCAACTCCGTACATTGTTAAGCATCATCGCCACACTGGGGGTGGGGCTGTGACTGTGATGATACCCCTTTCACTGATGAAGAAGCTGAGGCCAGCATCATGATCCAGGTCTGTGCAATTCCAAATCATGTGCTTTTCTTGAACACTCCACCTTGGCTTTGACTTCAGGGCAAAGGGACCAGCGTCTTCTCAGGCTGAAGGCTCAGAAGGGGCTTCATTCTCTCCATTCCCAATGTCTGGCCCACTGCCTTGGCTAAAACCTCTCAGCTGTCGGTCTCAAAGCCAAAGCAAGGATTGCAACCTTCCAGCCCACAGCCACTTGTCTTTGCAGGCCCCTGGGGCTGCTACCCTGTTTGGCGTCCCCTGCCCCTGCCCCTGCTCTGACAGCTCGGCGTAGGCCCCTTCCCGTTCCACTGCCAAATAGCTAATATGTAAGCTCCCTAGTCAGCATTCAAAGAGTTCCCAACTGGGGCCCCGTGCTTTGTTCTTCAGACCAGGCCCCACTCCCCACCCACCCCCTTCCCCAGCTCTAATCATGCTGAACCACCCCTGGCTGCTCCCGTCTCCTGGAAGCTCCCAGGCCTGACATAGGTCTTCCTCCTGTTGTTAAAGATCCTGTGGGAACAGATGCTTCCCAGGTCAGAACATGTCTGGGTCCTGTTCCTAATGGGGTCAGTGCCCCACCAGTCCCTGGGATTCTCCAGCACAAGGACTTGCCTCAAGTCCGTGTCCCTAGCACAAGGCCCAGGCAACTACTAGGTGCTAAGTGTTGTCACTGCCATACTACCCTGAGGTTTGGACAGACCTGCAGTAGCCATTGATGATCCTCCCAGACACCACCTTCCGGAAAGGCTCCCAGTGCTTGGCTTCACCTTCTACTGGTGCACCCAGCAAGACGACGTCCTCAATGATCCCTTGGCAATCTGGTGAGAGACCCCATTGACAAGATATCAATGGAGGAGATGAATGCCACACACACACACATACACACACACATGTATGAACAGAACACACATGCACACACATGCACGTGTGCACACAGTAAAGCACGCAGATGTACAGGTGAGCATACATGTATACACACACCCGTAAGCATGCACACAGTGCAATACATACATATAAGCACACACATGTGTAAGTATGCACACACATGCATGCACACAAACAGGAAAGCATGTACACACATACACATGTACACACACATGTGGGCCCTGGGTCAAGTCCTGATAGACCCGATCTATTCCTGCAAAGCACCATTATCCCCATTTTAGAGTCAAGGAAAAAGAAAGCCATTTTCAAGATCACATGGCTAGTGAGTGACATAGCCCGAGTTTGAACCCAGGTCTCTTTCCATTATCCACAAGGCTCACAACCATCCATGGACTTGGATGTGACACCTCCCTTTAGGAGACTTATGGCCCCTGGATGATTGTATACACCAGGGAGGAGGCACCACAGCCTTCGTGGCAGCAGGTGTGCAGGGGTCTGTGCAGCCTGGTGTGTGTGTGGGGGGTGATGTGGAGTGTGAACTCCAGGCAGAGAGTGGCCAGCCAGGATCTCTGCATCTAAATTAGGTTTCTAGTAGCACTGACCTGCTGATTTAGAAATAGTTTAGGCTGGGGCTATTCAGAGTGAGGTCCATGGGCCAGCACTGTTCATGGACTGTTTGCCTTGAGAGTACAGAGGGGGAGAGGAAACACTTATTTCTCTCTTTGCAGACTGGTGGCAGTGCACAGGTAGGTGTGCAGACCTGATGCTGAGGCCAATGAAGGTGCACACTCAGCCCCTCACCCTCCATCCCCTTACTCTGCGTTATTTTTTTTCTCATGTCATTTGTTTATCATCTGTCTCCTCCTCTAAAATCTACGTTCAGTGAGGGTGGGGCTCCAGCTGTGTAATCACACATGTATGGACACGACGCAGAACAATGCCTGGCATGTATTTTGTGCTCAATAAATATTTGACTGGATAAGTGACTAAATCAGTATCCCTGAGGAAAGTCGGTGCATGGGCTTTGGTGTGACAAAGCCCTGAGTTCAAATCCAGCTTAGTTCTGAGCTGAGTGACTTCACCTAAGTCTTTTCACTTCTCTGAGCCCCAAGAGAATAATGATACTGGCCTGTGGGGTATGAGGACTAAGTCATGGTGTGGGGAAAGACCTAGCATAGTGAATGCACAGTACAAGTTAGCATGTCCCCTCCCTGCTCTCCAACATAAGCTCTTTAATACAGTTTGAATCCCTTACGCCTCGGTGTCATTTTGGGATATGTGCCGAGGGGCATCAGCTCCACCCAGCTCTGCCACTCAGTTGCTGAGTGACGTGGGACAGCTGGCTTCCTCTCTCTGGTCTCTGGTTTCTAACTGCAGCAGTTCCACTTCTACCTTTTTTGTTTGGGCTTGCAAGTCAGATTTTGTCCGAATAAAGGATTCCAGGCTAACCAGAGTTTGAGAACCCCAGATGCAGACGTTAAAAGATCATGTGGCACAGAATCCTGACTTCATGCCTTTGGCTGCCAGGAAGATAATGGCCAAAAGACTGAAAACTTCAATAAGCGGGCAATTTATGCCAAGTAACAAAGATAGAGTCAGACTCCTTTGTGTTGGTGACAGGCTGTCACTCAAAGGGTCCTTAGAGATCAATTAGATTTTATTCCAACTCCTTCCCTTGGTAGATGAGAAAACTGAGGCTCAGAGCATATGGGGCTTGGCCAAGCTCACAGAGCCTCTGGGAATCAAAGCTGGGACCAGAAGCCAGACTGTGGAAGAGCTGCTGGGTGCTCGGGTCCCTAGAATCATCTCTATGTTGCTTGCAGTAAGAACATGAAGCACAGTGAGCACACAGGGGTGGGGGTGGGAGATGCTCCCAAGGGAATTCCTGTCAGCATCTCTCCCAGGGGGCCAAATGGTGTGGACCCACGACTAACCCCCAAGTTGAACAGCTCTCTCTGGAAGCCGGCAAGTTTGCCATGCAGAGTGCTTTCTTTGTTTAACAGAACTCCATCGCTCAAGACCTGGCATCTGCTTTCCAGCAACGGTGCTGATGCCCGGAGGGTGGCCTCTTGTGGCCAGCAGTAGTGATAACAGCTCTCCTGATAGGGCTGCCTGAGCAACTGCTAGGATCCTGGAAGTGATTACGGAAAGGAAAAACCAAAACAACCCAAACTTCTTGCTATTAAGTTGATTTGCACTCATGGGGACCCTATAGGTTACTGAGTAGAACTGCTCCATCTAGTTTTCTTGGCCTTTTTTTTTTTTCCCCCAGTTTTATTTTGTTGTTGTTGAGAACATACAAAGCAAAAAACATACACCAATTCAACTGTATCGACACTGAGTACACTCTGAGTTGTGTAACCATTCTTGCCCTCTTTTTCGCCCTCCTCCATTAGCATAAACTCACTGCCCACTAAGGTTCCTATCTAATCTTTTGAGTTGCTGTTGTCGTTTTGATCCCATATAGATAGTTCGTAAAAGAGCATAAGGCTCAAGGCAGACATATTTTACTTCTTAATCTAAACTACTGTTTGGTTTTCAGAAGAAAGACTTCAGGGATATTTTTGGTTTAAGATTTAAAGATTATCTCAGGGCAATAGATTCAGGGGTTCATCTAGCCCCCAATGGCTCTAGAAAGTCTGGAATCCATGATAATTTGAAATACTCCACCTTTTGATCAAAGATTCTTATATGGAATCCAAGATTCCTACATGGAATCCAAGATTCTTCTACAGACTCTTTGATTAAAATGTTTAGTAATGGTAGCTGGGCACCATCCAGTTCTGGTCTCATGTCCAAGGAGGCAGTTGTTCACGGAGGCAATGAGCCCACATTGCCTAACCTCCTCCTATTCCTGACTCTCCTTCTTCCTCTGTTGTTCCAGGTGAATAAAAACCAATTGTTGTGTCTTGCATGGCCACCTTTAAGCTTTTAAGACCCCAGGAACTACACAACAAATTAGGAGGTAGAACAGAGGCATATTATTAGGCAATTACCGGGATGCCCCATGAAATCATGACCTTAAACCTCCAAACCAAGGAACCAAATCTGATGAGGTGTTTGGTTGTACACAAGCAGCCTCAGCAGCTACTCTTTTTGTTGTTGTCGTAAATATATCTATCACACAACTTTTGCCAATTCAACTTTTTACAGCTATACAGCTTATTAACAACAATTACAATACTATTGTGCAACACTACCCTTAATCAATGCAATTTTTTAATGCATTTTATTGAAATATAATTTATTGTACAGTGAAACACATAAAACTAAAGTGACATGGGCCAATGCATTATTTTTTTTTTGCAGTGTTCTCTCCCCTCCCTGCCCACCCCTGGCAACCAACAAAGAAAGTTATCTTCCATATATGAACCTTTCCTTGACTTTTTACAATAATGAACTAATACTATATCTGTCCTTTTGTGATTGACTTCTTTCACTCAGCATAATGTCCTCCAAGTTCATCCATGTTATGTGATGTTTTGCAGACTCCACATTATTCTTTAGTGCTTCATAGCATTCCATTATGTGTATGTACCATCCACTCTTCTGCTGGTGGGCACATAGGTTGTTTCCATCTTTTTGCTATTGTAAATAGTGCTGCGATGAACATGGGTGTGCATATATCTGTTCTTGTCCTGCCTTTCACCTTTCTAGGATATATACCTAGTAATGGGATTGCTAACTCTAGTGGTATCTCCATTTCCAACTTTCTAAGGAATCATCATACTGCTTTCCACAGTGCTTGTATCACTTCACAGTCCCACCAGCAGTGTATGAGAGTCCCAATCTCTCCACATCCCTGCCAGCATTTGTTATTTTCTGTCTCATTAACGATTGCCATCAGTGCTGGGGTGAGATGGTATCTCATTGTTGTTTTGATTTGCATCTCTCTGATGGCCAATGATAGTGAGCATCTCTTCACATCATGTGTTTGCTGGCCACCTGAATATCCATCCTTCTTGGTGAAGTGTCTATTCATGTCTTCTGCCTATTTTTCAATTGGATTGTTAATTCCTTTGGTGTTGAGGTATTGGAGTTTTCTATGTCTTAGAGATAAGTTCCTTGCCAGATATGTAATGACAAGTATGAATTTGTTGCTGTCATTCTGTTATGTGCTTTTTCTTGGTGTCAATTTTTTTGTTCCATATGATTTTCTGTGCTGAGCTCCTCTTGTTTATGAATCGTGTTATCATTTCTTTTGTTGTTATTGTGTTAGTATTTGCTAAATGTTTGTGGTGGTGCTCTTTTTGATTTTGACGTGAAGGTTTATCATTTTTCTTTGAGGTTACCCTGTGATTTATAGTTTTCTTCCCAAGTTTAGAACAGTCCGTTCTATCCTGTAGTTGCCTTGACTTCCCTACCATCTAGAAGTTTTGTAATGACACAGTTTTTTCCCTCTTTTTGGTTTGTAGTTGTTCTCATTTGTTGGTTCGTGTCTCTGGTTCCCTGTTTACAATCTTGTAGTAGGCTTATTTACTTTGGATACTTCCATAGCTGGGTTGGTTTCTGGGTTATATCATGTGTGTTAATGGTCAGTTGTTGGTCGTTGTTGCTTCTCTGTCCAAAGTGCACCCTTTAGCATCGCTTGTAAGATTGGTCTGGTTTTAACAAGTTCCCTTAATTTCTGCTTATCTGGAAATGTCCTAGTTTCACCATCACACTTGAGGGACAATTTTGCTGGGTACATAATTCTTGGTTGGAAATTTTAGTCTTAGTCTTACTGATTGCCCCTTGTACGTAACTTTTCTTTTTTTGCCATACTACTTTCATGATTCTTTCCTTGTCTTTGGTTTTGGTGAGTTTGATGATGATATGTCTGGGTGATTTTCTTTTGGAGCCTATTCTGTTTGGGGTTCACTGGACTTCTTGAATGCATATACTTTCATCTTTCATCATACCAGGAAAATTCTCTTCCAACAAATCTTTGACA